AAGAGAGAGAGAGAGAGAGAGAGGAGAAATAGACCTTGGGTGTCCACTGGCGATGGTCAGCAGGCTGGCTATTTCCGTTCAGACCGTCTTCGCTGCTTAATCCCCGAGACCGGAGAAGGACTGTGGGAGGCGGAAGAGAGCTAGACGTGGCATTGCTTGGGACAATAATCAAGGCTCACAATCTTGTACCCATCCGCCCGCCCTCGCGCTGTCGGGCTCACAGGCGCGCAGGCAAGTAGGCAGGCAGCGTCCGCATAGCAAATTTGCTCCCAATGACCAGGACGGCCGGAAGCCGCAGCACTTTTGCCGAGTTTTAAAGCCGCAGCACTTCTGCCGAGTTTTAAAGCCGCAGCACTTTTGCCGAGTTTTAAAGCCGCAGCACTTTTGCCGAGTTTTAAAGCCGCAGCACTTCTGCCGAGTTTTAAAGCCGCAGCACTTTTGCCGAGTTTTAAAGCCGCAGCACTTCTGCCGAGTTTTAAAGCCGCAGCACTTTGCCGAGTTTTAAAGCCGCAGGCACCTTCTGCCCGAGTTTTAAAGCACCGCACGCACTTTTGCCGAGTTTTAAAGGCCGCAGGCACTTTTGCACGCAGTTTTAAGCCGCAGCACTTCTGCCGAGTTTTTAAGCCGCAGCACTTTTGCCGAGTTTTAAAGCCGCAGCAACTTTTGCCGAGTTTTAAAGCCACGCAGCACCTTTGCCGAGTTTTAAGCATCGCACGCCCTCGGCGGGACGCGCTACGTCGGCCGTGCATCATTTGGCAGAGGCGTCAAGTCGCAAATTAAGCTGCGATGGTTAGTAGGCACGATGCTCATAGTCAGGATCAGACTGGAGCTTCGCTTAGAAATCACAAAACTCACGCTTCATGAATGAGCTGGATTATATAGATTGCTCCAACCACTGCTGACTGCCACGTCCACTACCACAATCACTTCGTGTCAACTGCGTGCGGCAAAGCCCCCCCAGCTGACAGTCGTCCTTGGCCGGAGGCCCCGCCTGATTCGCACGCCTTGACTGATGCCCGTCCCGGTCCACAGCGTGCCGATGCCGCCGATCTCAGACTGGGAGGAGCCGACCGTCACCTGCCCCGGAGGCCGAGGAGGGGAGGAGCCGGCGGCCGACCCGCTGACGATCCGAGCAGGAAGAGTGCGACTGTGAGCCTTGCTGCTGCGTGGTGGGGTCACCGTGATGGGCGTGCTGGCGCTGGGCCGCCACCATCTCCTACCTGGGCCGTGGCTGGAGGAGTACGACGCCATCGGCCTCACACCCGGCGCCCTTTTCATGCTGGCCGTGGTGCTGGCCTGCGTGCTGTTCTGCCGGCTGCTGCTGGTGCTGCGCCGGGCGGACGGCGAGACGCCGCCGCAGGAGGTCTCAGTGAGCGGACTACGCGCAGTGCGGCCAGAGCAGGCGATGGCGACCGCCCACGTACCTGCAGGCGCTGCGGCTTGCCGCAGCCGCCGCCGCCGCCCGAGAGTCCACCGCCCTCTTACCCAGAAGGTGCACGCGCAGGCCGTGTCGTAGCGCGAGTGTGTGCGGCGCTGCAGCCGGCGCAACTTCTGGTGAGTGGTGACTGGTGGCGCGTGGTGCCTCAGGCGGCCGCAGGCGGAGCTCTGCTGACAAGGGAGCACCAGCGGCTGGATTGGGTGGACGCTGGGCTGTGGTGTAACGCCTAATGAGGTGTCGATGGAGAAAAGAACGTAAGGAAAGGATTACGAGCTTGTGCGTGGTGCTAACGGTGAGCACGAAGTGTGTGGGCAAAGAGGTGTGGCGAACTTAGGCGAATGTGTGCGACCAGCTGGGCGTGGACGTGAGTATCGACACAGTAACGTGTGTAAAGCATGTGGGTGCTCTCTTTAAAATCCATTTGAGTGACAAAGCCAACCAGGGCTGCAGAGATTGCACGATTTTGTGAAGTGAAAAGGCAAAATGGTGTCCCATGGCCTTGCGCTGCAGCGTTTCTTAACCGCCGGACCTACACGCACACGTGCCTGGAAGCTCTCATCTCGAGATGCTGGTCCACGTAATGTTTCCAAGTCAGGCAATGATTTGGGTGATTGCGCACAAGTGCACACTACAAAATACCGCATGTAACCTGACTGATAATACTTTTATCTCGCTCCTATTTTAGTGGTGGAGAAAGTCGCACACAGACGCGAATGAAGCGTGTTCATGACGATGGGAAGTGGCATGCAATATGCTATTTTTAGCGCTGAGATGAGAGCTTAAAGTACTGTCTTTACTCGCGGTATCTCCAACGGCTACACATACATAATGCGATTACTAACTACGTTGGATATTCGAAGAAAGCTATGTATACATTTACTGTGTATGTATGCTGAGTTGTGATCATTGACTGTGAAACGCGCGATTTTATAGATTGTGGATGTTCCTGATTATAGGATATAACACGCTGCGATGCATGGAGACAAACGTGGCAGTCTTATGCAGTGTCTGTGAGGCTGGGCGCTGCTGCGAGGGCCCTTTGCCCTCTGGTGTCGGGTCAGCGCCTGGTCACGCCACCTAAGCCGTGCCGGGATGAACGCGGACCGGTTGCGAGCTTTGTGACCTTGACCCCGATGTGTGGCCGGGCCACACGCGTTCGCTGCCAATACAGAATCCTGCTGGAGAGGAACGCCTGTGAGGAGGATCAATCGGAGTGAAAGGAAGGGTGCAGCGGTATACATTTACATCTTGGGCTTTGTAAGTATGCAAATGTAGTGTCGTGATCCTTATAGCGGAACGGAGAGCTGCGGCGCGGTAGTAATGTGCTTAATTTTTTTGCAAACCATGCAGTGCTCTATTTTTGGTGCGAACCTGGTGGTCAGCAGCACTTTTTTGTCGAACAAGCTTAACATGGGATCAATCAAATGTAAAATTTTCGTCCATTCACTTATCTAACAATACATAAAAGTGTCTGCTTACTTCTGAAGATATTACAACCATGGTATGCTGGTTGGATACGAGGGCTGGGGAAAGGGTGGGAGCGGTGTGGCGGCTTTCCGGCCATGGTGCCCCAACACTTAAAGGGTTCAAAGCTGTCATGTTTTTCCACCTCCCAAAAATTCCCCACCTCTGCGGACCAAATAAGACAATTTGCTGGAACTCAGTTCAAGGCTCTCTGCTGGGGGCTTCCAGGGCGTCAAAAACTGCGAATCACGCTAAAATACTATTCTTAATTGCATGTATAGACTGAACCCAGAAGCAGCTTCACTGCGTTAGCTTTGGACGATGCGTCAGGACGCAAGACACTGGATGCTGAAGAGTGTATGGCCCAGTAGCGAAACCGAGAGGATGTTTGCATAAACAATATACAGGACATCAGCTTGGAATGATTACAACCGAGTAGGTTCCCGCAGCGGAAATAAGCTTACTTTAACTATGATATCAAGATAAGATACACGAGGAGGCAAGACCTAGTGCAAGGTGCCCAGGTGCACAAGAGACGGAACAATCCAAGGTGTGGCGTATTCCGCAACTAGCATTGTGATTGCGAATACGTGAATGAACAAATCAATGAGCAAATACAGAACTGTGAAGCGTTTGAATGCATGAATGAATAATAATGGAATGACGTGATTGGTGTGTGCGAGGAGTTGGACGGTCCTTACCTACTGGTCTGGAGGCTCGGTATAGCTCCTATGATGAGGCAAATGCCAAGGTATGCCCCATTCAGACTGTACGGTGCTGATATCTGTGGTAAGGCAAGGCTCTGAAAGTCCGTGTAGAATTCGTTGTTCTGTGCTCGCCAAAGCACCAGAAGGCGGCTGGCCTGAAGGCTAGGTAAGTCTCCTATGGTCAGGCAAATGGCAAGGCATGCCTCATTCAGTCTGTACGGTCCTGACATCTGTGGTAAGGTAAGACTCCGAAAATCCTAATTATACTGTTCCGGACGTCGACAACGGAGGCTTTACTAGACCCGCGTTGGTGGCCTCCTCAGCTGCTGACCCTATCTCCCCAGACTCACTCCGTTGGATCGAGCGCTCCAGCAACCGTGTCTGGACATCGTCCACGTCCATCCAACGCTCCCCGGCAGTGACCCCCCGCTCGACCTTGACCGCTCCCGGCAGTGACCTCCGCTCGACCTTGACTGCTCCCGGCAGTGACCTCCGCTCGACCTTGACCGCTCCCCGGCACCTACTCCCGATAACCGGGGATCGCCAAGGTTTCTGAGTCCATACTAGACCCACTCGGCTTTAACACGGTCGTGCAACCGAGTGAAGAAAAGTTTCTTTTCGACAGCCAATGCCTTCGGGCCTTGCAGAAAGTTCCGCCGTCCGAGCATCTCTGGACTATCCACAGTTTATGCCACTGTGAAGTTAAAGCGGCACTCAATGAGCTGCTCGCGTATCATCCAACCCACTACCAGCGCACAGGCCTAAGCCCCGATCCAAACCACTGAGGTTTTTACATTCTTTCAAATTTTAACCCACCATGCACGGAACACAGCAAGAGGTAGGATCTATGCTGCCAAGCTTCGCTTCATGGCCGAGCAGGAAATGCTGACGGCGCTCAGTAAGGGCGGTGTGTGCCGTGTCTGACGGCTGACCACATTCCGCGATGGCCAGCCTGCTGGTTTTGATTCTTAGAGCAGCCCAGCTCCCTGAGCCCTAGCAGCCGGCTATTTCCGCAATGGAGTCCGGGTAGTTATGTCAACTCGCTAAGGTGTTTTGCCTGACAACGGTGTGGTAACGGCAGCAATCGCTGCTAGTTGTGCTAGTTGTGAGAAGCGCAGCGAGACCCCGTCTGGTCTGTCTGTGTGCTATTTCCCTCAAAAATTGTCTCGGCTTCAGAAGTGCTGATCACAGCACACATTCGTGTCGGCGCCCAGTATGACAAGAAGGAAAAGTTGTTCAGAGACGAAACCAGATGTGCTTTACCAGCAAGCACAGCGCACCGTCAAGCCCAAGATGATCACAACTTTCATTGAAGGGTCGTAAGCAAAGGTAGCGAAAGTCTCATGAGCGATCTGTGCCGCTCAGACTGATTATGGTCCGCAGCTGCCTTCTCTGAAAATTCTTTCTTCGCTTAACTTAGTTTCAATTGCTTTGAACACGCAGGCAAACGAGATTCGTGCCTCAACAGCCCCTGGGCGGACGATCGGACGCATAGGCGTCCATTGCCCTCTCGTTTTCAGGCTGGTCGTCATTCTAAACTCCCCCTCCCTCCCGGCTACGACTACCGCACGCTTGGCTCAGGCTGTCCGCAGTCTCAGCCCTCCACCCACGAGTGGTCGGCAGCCAGGTCACCCGGTCGGACCACAAGCGGCCCATCCTCCTGGACGACGTCTGCTGCAATGAGGACAGCCAGTCCCGTGCGCAAATGGAGAGCGGCAATGGGCCGCCAGCCCGTGCGCCAGTGAGAGCGGCAATGGGCCGCCAGTCCCGCCCGCTACTGAGATGCCAGTCCCGTGGCTAGTGAGGGCGGCAATGGGCCGCCAGTCCCGTCCGCTAGTGAGATGCCAGTCCCGTGGCCCAGTAAGAGCGGCAGTGGGGCCGCCAGCCTGCGCGCCAGTAAGAGCGGCAGTGGGCCGCCAGTCCCGTCCGCTACTGAGATGCCAGTCCCGTGGCTAGTGAGGGCGGCAATGGGCCGCCAGTCCCGTCCGCTAGTGAGATGCCAGTCCCGTGGCCAGTGAGAGCGGCAATGGGCCGCCAGTCCCGTCCGCTAGTGAGATGCCAGTCCCGTGGCCAGTAAGAGTGGCAGTGGACCGCCAGTCCCATGTGCCAGTGAGAGCGGCAATGGGCCGGCAGTCCCGTCCGCTAGTGAGATGCCAGTCCCGTGGCCTAGTAAGAGCGGCAGTGGGCCGGCAACAGTCGGTATTGTACGACAGATTCCCACCGCATGTTTTGGACAGATCATGGTTGTCAAATAAAATTTATTCGCTCCATGGAATTGCCCTGGGCTCTTTTCTAAACAGACTAAAGCAAAACCCGTTTTACTGCTCCTCACTCTTACTGTCACTGGGCTGTAAGAAATATGCATGTTACTAAATTATCACTGCCACTTCTTAACACTGCTTATTCGCCGAACCACTGCTGTGAGGCGGCGAAAGACAGCAGCAATGGTGGTTCGGATCGTCGCTCGTGGTAACCAGTTCAGCTTGCTACGCCGTCTGAGGTAATCTGATGACAAAGAACGGCAAGCTGTTGCTGCTCACATTCCTCGTCAATAACGCAGCACCGGACTGAAACTCGCATGCTCGTGATGCGGTAATTGCCAAGCCGTGCGAGTATCAGCCTGCAAATCAACAGACGAAGTATGCGGCTCAGAGCATCCTTGACTTGTTTGAAATATTTTCGAAACAGGTT